CACGAGATGGTTTACTGAACTTGCACAATGCACATGCATGGTCAGACGAAAATCCTCATGCTACCATTGATAGTCATCACCAACACCGATTCTCAGTCAACGTATGGGCTGGAATAATAGGTGACTATTTGCTCGGGCCTTTCTTTCTACCTCAAAGGCTTGATGCAGTAGAATATTTAAACTTCCTAGAAAACCATCTCCCTGAGTTAATGGAAAATGTTCCTTTAAATTTGAGACAATACATGTGGTACCTCCATGACGGGGCACCTGCGCATTTCAGTGTTCATGTTAGAGAGTATCTACATATGCGGTTTCCTAATCGATGGATTGGAAGAGGATATAATGCACCAATAGCCTGGCCACCGCGATCACCGGACTTGAATCCTGTCGATTTTTATCTTTGGGGACACGCGAAATCTCAAGTTTATGCAACCCCTGTTGATACAGAAGATCAACTTAGACTGCGAATTGTAGAAACCTTTAATTTAATAAGAAATAGTCTATTCATATTCCAAAGAGTCAGATTTAACTTTATAAAGAGACTGACAGCATGTATCGATGCAGAAGGAGGTCAATTTCAACATTTATTATAATAACATATTTTGTTTTAGTTCTGTTTTGGTTACTTAATTAAAAAAATTATTTTGGAAATTGATTGTATTCTTAAAAATTCACTAGGCTTAAGAAATGTATGTAAATAATTCGGAAGCACTCATCTCTCTGCATTTTGTAAATTTACTAGAAAACTAAACATTTTACATAAAAAACACAAGAGACAAAAAAATTTCTAAATTTAATGGTCTTTCTAAAAATCTTATGATACTTGCTGTACCTTTGCAGAAAAATTTTTTTTAGCAAAAAATAGGATACAGGGTGATAAAAAAACACCCTTCTGCTTTCTCGATTTTATTCATATCCGCATTATTTATTGATTTCCTAAAGCTGATTAGCCCCTGAAAATTTCATTAAGTTTTCTTTTTCCAACAAAGAGTTACGTCATAAAAACTACTTTTATAGTTGCACCTTTGAAGGTCTGTAACTTCAAAATGGTGCGTTTAAGAGGTTATGTTTATTAGAGTTTTTAGTCATATTTTTTTATGTACTATCACCACCCAAAGTTTGTAACATACTTTACGGGACACCCTGTATAAACGTACGATACTTTAAAATCGAATGTTGTACATTTGAAGCAAGAAATTTTTTGCGTGTACATTTCGAAATTAGAAATCTAGTAACGAGACTGGTATGGTTGATACCTGTGCTCTATTCCTTGTATATCTTTGTAGAAACACTCTTCCTGATCTTCGCTATAATAAATAATCTCCTAACATCTGTGGGAATTGATCTTGTATATGAGAATGCAGGAAGTTCAATTTCAAGGACATCAAATATCTCATTCTATCAAAGTTTTGAATTTATGTCTACATTTCTATGGTTGTGATTCCTTAAGAAGTTCTCAACATCTTATTGAAAGTTAGGCTATGCTACTTTTTCTTTGTCATTGTTCAGATAAAGGCCAGACCTTTCAACATTTTTCTAATTCACGATCAATCAAAAACGCTTCTCTTCTATCTTCGACATGAGACAACAATCCAGGTCTCATAGAAGCAATTCGTGAAAATCTGTGGAAAAGATGGAAAACGCTTAGAATACTTGGAAAAAGAATTTCCCCACATGACAACAAAGAAGTTCACAAACAAACAAAAGAGAATGCATGGCCCTTTAATAGTATTTTAACCCCAAAATGTACACCCGCTTTTTTAATTTTGTATGTTTATGTTGTGAATGATTGAATTGATTGTCAGTTCACAATCTAAATTAGTTAGAGCAAAATTCTAATGAAACTTTCGTATCTGTATCCTCCAACGAGTATTTATTCCTTTAAAATTTAATGTCCACCGTTATCTCTAACCAGAGCCACGGGGAAGGAAATTTATAATATTCGCTTGGTGTTCGAACACGTAAAGCAGAATTAACCAATAAGGCCATATGGCACCGTCCGTGGAATACATAAAGGATAAAATATCCGTCTATTTATGCCCTCCTAGGTTTCTCTTCCTCCCCTACATAGAAAGAAAGACGGATCCTCCTGTAAACTACGACCCTCGCACCAACGCGGCAATCTTTCCTTTTATTGAATTGCGGAATATGCCACGGGAGTTCCGAGAAGATGGAATCCTGTGCGAGCAGGTAGAGGTCGAATTGTGGTAATTTTTATTTGAGATGGGTTGTAGCCGGTTTTAATAAGATGTTTAGCAGCGTTGCCAGCAGCTGTAGGATTTCGCCAAGAGAGAGATGAGCCGAACTTGTGTCGATAACTGAAGAAGATTCAGATCTAAATACTTCAGTTATTGCAGTATTTATATCTGAACTTTAATTTATATTTGATGCTGCCTCCTAAAAAAGAGCAATAAATCAAAGATTTCAGTGTTATTTCGATATCTTCAGTATTGACCGAAAAATTCAGAAAAAATTATGCAACGCCTGAATCAATCATTACAATATGGTAAAATTGGGATCTAGAAGATTGCATAGGTATACGTATATCATTTGTCCTTTTGCTGGGTGTTTTGTATTTTATTAAACGTCTATCTCGATCATCATGAAATATCAATTAACTTTCCTAAATGTCTATTATAATAACAATACTCTCTGTCCTTTAGTCATATAACTATAAGATGGCCCATTAAAAACCAGAATACATTTTTTTGAAACATAATGCGATTGAACATGTTTTTTTTGTGTAACCTATAGCTAGATGTATTTGAAGCAACTATTATTATGGTAATCCATTTTCATATTATCCATAGAGACGATTTTTTAGAAAATCACTTTAGACACTTTTTATTAAAAATCCGGCCTCACCCTCAGCATCAAATAATACGTAAAGAAGTAAAAGTCCCGTGAAAACCTAGTGCTAAAGATTTTGATAACCCAAACACATATAATTCCTCACAAAAACTTTAGGGAAAAATGTATAATTTTTATATTTATGTATAATAGTATTATTAAATGATAAATTCATTTTCAAAAGGCAAAATTTAAAATAAAATTCATAATCATAACTTTTTGAGTACCGAAAGAGAGGCAAAAGGATCTTACATTTACAACAATGCTGTCACATTTTATTATGATTTTATTAGTATTCTAACCTCATATCTCATTTTGTACACAATATTTATTAAATAACATATATTATCTAACATTTTTTTGTTATCTATTTTGTATTTTCCTGCAATTAAATGAAAATACAAATAAAACTCTTAGGACGTAATTAGAACAATACGACACTTCTGTAGAAGAGATAAATCAAAAATAAATTCCAAAAGTTCCTACATATCAGACATAGAAAAACACATAAAAAATCTTCCTTGTTCACTGGCGCTGAAAAAGAAATCAAAGTAGAACACTATTCTATCTCTATCTTTGTTAACCTGGTAAACCAGGAACAGAAAAAATCGGAAGAAGGCTATTGTATACAAAAAACATTATTATAATTATATACCTCAAAAAAATTTTAGAGATGTCCTGGTCCTTAGTGGGTCATATTCTTGATCTACCATTATATTCTATAAAACGCCAAGCTTTCCTTGTATTAAAAATTGTTAGTCTCTGTATATTTGCTTTACAATTTATAAAATTGATTGCATTACTTATTTGTTTTTTTAGTTTAGTTTTATTTTTTAATTTTTTGCACCTTTACTGCACCTACTTATGTCTTTTATTTTGTAGTTATGGAGCACCCGTAACGGTAATATTTTTTAGATTGTCGTGCATATAAATAAATAAAAATAAATCAATAAATCTAAATTAAAAATTATAATCTTTTGTCTGAAATGCACCAGGTATTTTTTGAGCCTGTTAGAAAATGTACATTCAGTATACGTGTCGAAAGAAAACTGAGATTTTCCACCGTTCCTCGAATAGTTCCTAATTCCTTAAAATTTGATCAAATGTTAAGAGAATTTTGATTTATTGATCTGGACTATCTCCAAGTAAATTTTTTCTTCACCGTTTACGATTAAAGGTATAAAAAGCATAGAACATAGAGGAAAATCGGAACAACTTTAAGATTTCCACAAATTCGCATTTATTTAAATGTAGTCAAATGAATATATTCAACCAGATTATAGGGTTAGGTTATTCACAAATTATAGCAAAGCACTTGTCCCATATTGTCATGTTTCTACATACTCAACGAAATCAGCTCGAGGAGAAAAGTTTTTGATGGAAAATCTCCATCGAAGTTTTTTTATATATGAAACCCCTCAAATTTTTAATAATTCTGATGTTAAAGCTTGATTTTTCGTCAAATTTTGCCGGAGGCGATATAAATAATTATTCTTCCTTCATTTATTTGCATAAACTTTTATTTTAAGCTATAACTTTGTATATTATTCCTGAAGCAATGCAAAATAAACGATATGATTTCGTTGTATTAAAGTGCAGTGAATTCTTCTGTAGAAAGTAAATGCCATTATAATTCACAGCGATTTAATCAAGAGCAAGTCAGCAACTTACTCATGAAGAACAGTTATTTCATTTTTAGTACAGCTAATATATTTTAAATCAACTCAAGCAGCTTTACATTTTTACATTTTTATTTAGCATACCTACAAATAGGTATCCACATTTTTTGAGCATATACTGAAATTTTTTTCGTGTACATTTCGTTCAGTTTTGCTTTAGCATAAAACCAATACATATCTATTTAATAACACCCTATACAGGCTTATTATTTGTTAATTCAACTATATGAATTAAATGAAAAGGAAACAAACATTTAGGTACATATACAAAAATTAGAAATTTTTAAAATAATTATGTTAAAATTATTTGCCTAAAATATTAACACATATTTCATTATAAGATTAATTAATTTTGTGAAACAGTGAAGTACACAATATTTAGTGTTAAGATTATACATCTAACTTTTAAGCTAAAAATTGATTCTAAATTATGTTACTTCCACAAACATAAAACTTACTGTTTGTCAACAGAATGAAGTATTCGCGATAGCATTACATTGGAATTAAAACTAGTGAGGTGAGTACATTTACAGTTAAGCATCTACCCGCCATTACTGGCTATTGTTGGCTCTGCCAAGTTAGCAACATAATAAGACATGGTAGAATTGCCACGTAATGTAACGAAAATGCTAATTATTAAGATTCCAGTAAAAATATCATCATTTCCAGTACTTGCTATAGATTATTTCATATTATATTATCCTTATTTACACATTATTTATTTTGACGAATTTAGACTAAACTTATAAAAAAGTAATTAGATGAGTATACTATTTATTTACTTTATTTTATAAGTACATTATGTTTATATAAGATCTTATACAGGGTGTGGCGTCTTTAGTGCAGAAAAAATAAAATGCAGATTACTAGGAATATATGCAATAAAGCCGTATATAAGAAATTCATATATCCACGTTTTGTCAAGAAAATTGAACTTCAATTTTGTAGCGAAGAAATAAATCTTAGTACGGTCCTGGTCAAAAAATGTCATGCCATTCGATTAACATCAGCGCACGCTTGCCAAACCGAACTTAACAGAGAGTCAAGCCTTTGCGCAAATCAGTGTTGCCAAATTAAAATGTATGAAATACACACAAAAGAGATAAAATGTTTTAATGCAATAATAAATCATTTTGGCCAGTTTAATACAATCCTCTCGTTTTAATTAAAAGGAAAAATAAACATAAAATTCAATTAGTTTTTTCACTGTAAATGATAATGTGCAATCCCATACAAGAGGTTTGTAGAAACAAAGTACATGGTGTTACAGAAAAGACTACTATTATTTTAGCAAGTGATAGGTTGGATCACGACAAACAAAAAAGATGCAAACTTACCGCTATCGTTCGATAGTAGTAAACGTATTATTGTTGTCCTCGTTATCCATTGCCGATTTAGTTAAAACAATAACTTAAAAAATAAAAAATAAGAAACATCTTTAATAAACACTTAACGTCTAAACAGTAGAAGCGCAATCTTTTTGACACAACTTAGCAACAATTCACCCGCAAGTCAAAAGCATACTGACACTGACACTGACTGACTGACACTCCACAGGTGCCATGCCGTGCAGAGTGCGGACTAGGTCAATGTTTTTTGTGCTATGTTAAACAGGACCGGCATTAACATTTTGTCACTTGTATTTTTTTGGAAAATATTTTTGATATTCAATATCTCATAATCGCCTTATGGTAGTATATATTATTTTACTTCATTTATTGTCAAGAGCCTATGTTTTTAATTTTCTGCATTATAGACGCCACACCCTGTATATAATTTTACTTGTAGAAATTACCATATCATCCAATCTGCAATGTTTCTACACGCGAGTATCGATTAAAATTTCCAATTAATATCCCATTATTCAGTTTTCGGATGGTGCAACTTGTGGTCGCGCGTTTCTAGCGCTGCGATAAAAAGGGTTTGCAGTAATAGGTAACAGTTGGAAACGGGCTGATTTGTGCATTATGTAAAAATGTCGGATTTGGAGGACCGTTAAATCGGTATTACAAGAGCAACTGTTGCGCAACTTAACCGTTAACAATACAGGGAGCAGACGAATACATCTAACCGTTTCATAATATGACTCGTTGACTAGAATCCGCTGGTGCGATAAGGAACAGTTTGAAAATATATCATCAGAATACTGGTCGGTGTTTCATATTTCTCTCTAAGAAAAAAATTTTCTCCAGTGTAGTAAGTAATATAAAATACCGGCTCATTTTTTTTTACTTGAAACTTTTAAATCTTAAATTGGAACCCGTATTTTTTATTGCACATTCGGATTTTGCTGCTAAAAGTACGTAGGATTTGTCTGAAACATTTTTTTCGATTCATGATAGATGGCAAATGATCAACGAAATTCAATTTTTTCGATTTCTCCTATTGATAACCTAGGCAACCGATTCTGCAATACATTTGTAATAAAAATATCACTTTTTCAATATAAATAATCAAAATTAGTCTTACTACGAATTTTATTTCTCAAATTTTGAATTACTGAAAAATGACTTGTCAAGGAACTACTATTATTGTAACCCAGGAACAGGCGTCCCTTTTAGGATATTTGATCAACGTGATTTCCTTCGCTTATGACTTGCGGAATGTTTGATTAAATCTGCTTTCAAATTAATGTACTTTTTGTATTTTGTTTTAAAAATACTTTTCTTTTGTTAAAAATAATTTTTATATAAATGTTTTATTGTGTTTTCATTTAACGTTTGTGTTGTTTCTTTTTGTGAGTTTTTTGTGTTTGCAAAAACACAAAAAAAAACATATAAAGAAAGAAATATCTTACCAGAAAACTCCAAACTCTGCAAACTCCACTGACGATGTTTAGGTTTTTTTTTGTCTTTCTATTCGTTGTTCCCTATTGCTCTTGAAAATGGCTATCATAACATAAAATTATTGTTATTTAGAAAACCCTAAATACATAGTTCAGCTATTTAAAATCTGTTGTCTTTGTAGAAAATACTTTTTTGTGAGAATGACGCCTTTAACGGCAGTAACATTGATTTTGCAACAGTTTTCCTAATCCCTATACTAAATGCTGATAATTTTATATTGTCCCTTCTTACGCTTACAATCAGATTTTCACTGTCTTATGATTTTTACTATTTGAATTAGCATGTTTTATAACTTTCTGTCATATTTTGTCCTTTTATTTTATTATATAATGTAATTAATTTATAATTCATTTGTGAATTAAGAGCTAAGATAAACTAAATTCATCACATTGCTGATAGTGATAAGTCAGATATCTTTTGGTGTTCCAGTTTTACTTTGTATTTGAAAAAAAAATAATTAATTCACTTATATCAAAATTTGAATGGAATATATTTGTAGTAGAAGGGTAATATTTAGTGCAAAACTAGTATTGCGAAAAAAATGTATTGCTATATTTTGCAATATACGTTATCTACATTGGTTGTAATAGTAAAGCAACTCGTCATTTTATTAAAATCACCTAATATTTAACAAGAAATATTTGCTATTGTGAAATATAAATAATACTAAAGCGCCAATTTTGATAAATTCTCTGCTTTAAAAAATAAAAATTTTCGTTTGTTGATAAGCAGCCTAGGAAGAATCAATCAAAAAATGAAAAAATGTCTTACTGTTCGTACTATTTGTGGTGTAATTTTAGTTTTCTCTATTTATTAGTACCACTTGTAAACAAAATATTATCATTTCTTATTTTGGTTATCGGTTGAGTAAAACTGGATTTAAGTAAATGACACATAACCTGATCCAGAAATGCTTGTCTAAAAATATTTGCTATTATGTAATGACGTAAATGAAACCTGGCAACCTTGCTTTCTATCACAATGCACTTACGGCAGAGTGCATTACTCACGGTGCTTCGCGTATGTCGTCAATAAAGGAGTTCGCAAATATTAAAAATCGCAAATTCGATCCTAATAAGGAGCATTTGGCGAAAACAGTGGTCGACAAAGACTTTATCGTGAAGTTGAAGTAATGATTTTGTTTGTATTTAATTTGATATATTATCAAAAATATGCCATTATTCGATATTTGCATGAGCTGAAAATTGCCTCTTGAAAGTTTCATAGGTGACCTCTTCATAAGGAAGCAATTATAAGAGAATGTTTGAGGAACTATTCAATTTATAAATTTATATTCAAGATTAAAATATTACATCATAAAACGTACTGATGATAAAGATTCATTTTAGTTTAAAGAGAATGTAGTTTTCTCCTGTGTATATAACGCATTTACTTAAAATAAATATATTCCTTCTTGATTCAGATATTGTCTTTATTTTGATGTTTATATGTTTGACTGTTTCATACTGCAAGCAGCACGCTGTATATATCTCAATTCTGTAACTACGCGAAGTTTAAATAGTTATAATTACAAATTACGAGACACTTTTATGGTTAGTATATGTAAAATTATAAAAAATACCGTATATAACATTCAAATTACTGTTTTATTGACTTCAGGGACATAAATGATAAATAAAGTTGTGTTTTCTGTAGTGCATGATTCAACTTACAATTAATAAATTGTATTTTGCCAACACCTAAAAACTGTAATGGAAAGTACTACGTATCATTGAACAAAATAAACGTACTTACAATAATGAATACATATAGTATTTACATTATTATACCTTGAAAGAAGGCACTTTGTTATTTTTGTTAACCCAACACAAGCCAGTTTTCAAAATTTGTTGGCACTACTTGATATCGTTTAATATCTATATTTAATGTATGCTACGTTACGATCAATATTTTTTTATATTGAATAGACGACAAATAAAGTACCTATATTTTTTAACCTCTCTTTTAACTTCACTTTAACTGATGTATTATAGTTCTATATTCTACAGAACTGGTCAACATCTCCAGTATTTCAGAACATTGTTAAAGGCACGCCACTGAAAATATTAAATATAGCAACTGCGCCATATTTGCCAATAGAACACAAGTAATTTGTCAGATTTTTTATGTCCTTCACATACGGACACCTTGCATATCTGCCTTCATATCGTTTATCCCATATTTATAAATTCCGACCTTGTATCTTGTGCCAACTAAATGTGGCTATTAACTTATGAACGTCAAATTTATACAGGGTGTCAGGGGTTTGAGATGTGTGAAAATAAAATGTAGTTCGCTCAAGCGTTGTCGACTGTCACTTGTCTCTGCTAAGTTATATGGAGGAATATGATTTTAATATTTAGCACTATTGCCAAAAACATATATGATTTCACGAATTAGTATTTAAAATTAAATTATTTCCATTTAAACAGCAAAAAGACGCGCGTGATTGGAATAGGTATATACAAATATTGTCATTTGATCCATATGGCATATTTATAGCCATAATTTGGTAATGTCTTTTTAGTTTTTCTTGAAAATGATTGAGTTTAAAACATATGTTAAATCGTACGACACCCTGTATATTTATATCCGTACGACCTTTAAAACATGGGCAACGTTCGTTTTAACTGAAAGAGAAAATAAAGGAAATATAAGCGGATTAATACTC